AAGACACAGCCGATAACATAGAAACTTGAGGTGTCTTCGGGTTAAATGAGTTGAAACTTCTACAGAAACGGGAAACAAGAACATGTATCTACATTCCGGTAATGGCTATAAGAAATTGAAAGAGTTCTTAACACAAATTATTAATTTTAATTCAGCACACGAAATTAAATCTATTTGTATGAGAGAAAATTACAGGTTTTGTGTCTTGGATTTCCCTTTTACTGGGGGAGGATGGATTCGTGGATCGAGTTGCTTGACATTTTCCTTTTGTATTTTGCTCGAACGCTTTAATTTAGATAGAATTAAGCTTTGATTGGCTTGATCAGAAGAGTTACATGAGTGGGGAAAACAAACTCTTCATGTGACAATATACCCTGATAACTTATATTGGAAACTTCGGATGTTTTGATAAAAGAAATTGCATCTATTAGCTCCTTGATGAACTGCTATACTGATGTCGTCTTGCTTTAACATTTTTAACCTTGTTAAGTTTTTTTCATAAACAATTCTATCTTTTGAGAGGCAGATTCTTTATTTTATTAGACTACACACGTACACACAGAGTAACAAAGGATATTTTACACAGCACTAGAGCAAAATCTCACAACAAGAGTAACGTTGCCCCAGTAGAGATCTATGCTAACGAGTTTTGTATTTACAATGGTTTACAGTATAAGGTGCTTACAAATCAGATCGACACTCAGAGGAAGAAGGTAGTTGTGGTTTGCTGGTTTCGTAAATAATAATCTGTTTAGGTGTTTAGTTGCCTTCAACTTAATTACTAGATGTGTTGTACTTTTCTTGCAGTACAATAACGAGAGAGAAGTACACGGCAGACTCCTACGTGACTTAGTAAGCAAACTCTCATTTTTTCTAGTTTGAATTTATCGACCTACACACACACACACACTCTCTCTCTCTCTCTATATAAATATATATCTTTTGGCACCTTAAAAATTTGCATGTAATGGCAATTGTTTGGTTCATTAAGGAGGCAAGAGCAGAAGATCCACGTTTTGGATTAATAGAAAACCCAGTGGAGTATGATGCTGTGATGGGATTCTCCAATATAGGTCCTCGCATGTTTGCATTAAGCCTTCAGCCTAGTCACCCCAATCCGCATTCCGGAGCGACAGGCTCAGATCTTACCACTTATCCTTTGCTTTTCTAGCTCCACATCGTTATTAGCTTGCTCAAACCTGCCAGATTTATTTTCCAATAAATTAGACATGCAGTGTATGTTACTACGTTGCATGTTCACTGTTTAAAATATACATGTTACGTTGCTATCCTAAGACCGTAACTGATTGTAATTTTGCATCCCCAAACAAAAGTGTATGTTTACCTGAACCGTAATTCGACTGTTTGTTTAGCGGAATTGACCTTATATAGTGCATGATAATGTGATGCTAATCCCTTTTACAAAAGTGAGAATGGTAGAGGCAATTATCATGTATGGCTAAAGTACGTTTTTGATTCTCTAATTTTATGTAAAATTTTAATTTCATTATTTAATTTTATAAAGTATTTTTTAATCTTTCACCTCTAACATTGTTTGCATCAAATGATTATTTTTTTATCAATTATTGTTATTTTTAAAAATTTATATTCAACATGTAAACATTTGATAATATTTTGTGAATATTTAATAGTTTAATGTAAATTTTTTTATCAATATTTAAAATTTGTGATCAAACTAATAGTGTTAGAGTTAAAGGATTGAAAATACATGCGATTTAAAAAATTAAAGGATCAAAATAAAATTTTAGATAAAATTAAAAGACGAAATATATTTTATCTTTTCTCCAATGCTTAGGATTATGGCAAAGCCAGCTGACGCTGCCTGTGATTTCTATGCTCCAAACTTGGTCGTCATTAATTATTCATGGGATTCGTCAGGGAATTTATTGATGTTTTTAATCTGCACGCTGCATGTGTCTAAGTTTAATACTCATCAAGTCATCATATATTCTTGAGATAAACATAGATTGTTCAGATTCAATTTAGACAGTTGAAATATAGCTTTTCAATTATTTAAGCAATACTCTTATTTTTTTTTTCAAGAAAGGAAAGTATAAGATTATTTTTATTTATAAAAGAAGCTTAGATACTTTCATGATTTCTGGGGAGGTAAAGCATTGAATCCCAGAATCAATATATATATATGCATATGTTGATGATGCCATGTCCCAGTAAAGTTACGTATCAAGAGCAAATCTTGTAAACATGAGCAAATTAAAACATGATCGGACTAATACCAGATGATAGTATCCTTAAGGATTATTTCATCACACAAGATCAATTACAGTGCCGCAAGGCTTCGGGATTATTAACAGGAAACGAAACTACAGGAAAATGTAGAAGGTAACCAACCCCGTGAGCGGTGTACATAGGACCCAATGATGAGAGTCGTATCACTTGTTATATGCAAGGTACGTAAAAGCGGACCGGTCATTAAACTGGTTATGGCACTGGGTCACGGGTTAGTGGTTCAATCGGGGTTGAACCGGGGGTTGAACCGGTGGCAAACTGGTCATGATTAAAATAATACAATTTAAATAAAAAGACATTAATTATAAAAATATTCAACCAAATCCAACCACTCAAAAGTCTAACAATAATAAAATACTATATTTTTGGACTTAGCATGCTCTATCTCTAATTTTTCATTTTTTGACTTCAATTTTATTTTTTTTTGTTATCTTTTTTCTGAACTCAGAGCTCTGAAAAATTAAAAATAAATAAAAAATTAAAAACGACATCGTTTTGGGGTAAAAGTCTGAAAAAATATTAACCCGGTTAACCCAGTCAACCCACTGGGTTATCCGGGTTATACCGGGTTGAACCCGGGTTGACCGGGTTACACCGGTTTACTCCCTCACCGGGTTAAGAGCAAACCCAAACCGGACAGGGGACCGGTTCACCGGTTTCGGGGTTGACCCGGCCGGTCCGGTCTGGTTTTCAATACTATGGTTATATGTATAATTCTTCTCTTTTTCTGCACCAGAATAAAGAGACTGGCAGCTTTATAAGATAAGTCCGAAAGGCACCCTTAAAAAATAAAATACACCTAGCACAAGTGCACAAATGGTTCTAATTTGATTAAAAATTACGCCTTGTTACATTTTTCATTTTAAAATTTACGTTTAATAATTCCATTAATTTCAACACGTGCCTCCACCAAAAAAAAAAATTACAGTTTATTAACTGTCATAAGCTGATCATCACTACTCATGTTGTGTGCTCCATTTTGGGCTTCTTACTCTTGTCATACTGTGCAATGGTAATCATTCTCGAGACACCTATGGAGATCATAGAGTAACATCCAATTATCCTATATATAGAGGAAGGACGATTGACGTAATTACATTGCTTGATGGCTGTAGTGAATAGTGATTCGTCGCCAGTTGGCTGTAATTAAGGAGGACTTCGACGTTGTCCCCTCACGTTTGTATGTATAAACTTCCGAGATGAACTTAGTTCAGGAATTTGTGATGGTGGTGGTGGTGGTAGTTCAGGAATTTGTGGTGGTGGTGGTGACGCAATGATATCACATGCTTTCTGATTAATTATTCCGAGGTTTCAGAGGATCTTAAATCTCTAGGTGGAGTTACAAAGTATATATACATTGATGACTTTTCTCATCGATTCTTCCGATACAGAAGGAATTAATCCCTGGCCACTTTCATCCTCTTATTAGAAATTAATTCAGCAGGAAATTAAAGAAACCTGGTGAAGCAGAGAATGAGTGTTAGGGTTATTTCTGTTTTGGATGAGGAATAGGAGCAGCATTGCCTCCCGGAGAAACAGGATTAGGGCTCCAATTGCCATAGTCTTCCAAATCATGATAACAATCCTCACTCCTCTCTGCCTCCATCGTCTGAAAATTTAAATCCGGCGCCTCTGCTAGTGCTGGTGGTGACGAAATCCGTGCTGACTTTGAATATAATGATATCAGCATCGACGTAATCGCCAACACCATGCTCAACTTTTTCAGAAATGAGCTCATGGTTTTGGTTAATGTATGTGATCATAACTCTGTGTCTTGTGTTTCCTAGAAATTATGGAGATCATGCTGCTTTAAGCAAGTTAATTCAGACCTGAAATTCGTTCATTTAATTGAGAAATAATAGTAAAAAAAAAAAAGTGGGGAAAGATATTAAGAGAATACAGGAGGAGGAGGTGGGAGGAAGAAGCAAATCGGAGAAATTGTCGTTGCCTGCGTCTCCATCATGTATCAAATTACCCAAACACTATTTTTTTAGCTTTGTCATCTCAACCGTTTATCTAAACCGCGACTTATAATTATGCAGCACATGGAAGCTGCAGTAATTTAATTGAAGACGTATTTCAAACTATACCATCTGAATCGTACGTATACCATGTTTCTTTCATGTGTTGATAAGCCGACACACTATTTGGATGATGCACTGATTGACAATTTAATATAGTTTATTTATCCTAATTCCCTTTTTTGATAGCTTATTTATCCTAATTCTGATGTTACGAAACATTGAAAAAACTTTGATTTGATGAAAGGGAGAAAATATACTCTAATCTATTAAAAAATATAAAATATTTTTAATTAAATTAATTTCACCCTAATAAAATAATTATTTATTTTTAAATTAATTTTATTTTTTTATAATTATTCTTATTTAATAAGACGTTTTATTTTAAAATAAATATAAAATATTTTATTTAACAGGATACTTAAAAAAAGATAATGATTATATTTTAAAAAATTAATTTTTTTTTATATTTTTAAATATTTAATATTTTATATTTTTTAATGAGGAATAATATAAAAGCTTTTACCCCATTTCATTGCTCCATTACCCATTACCTGTACAAAGATTGAAGACCATTGCCACAAATCATGCGATCCACGTCCAAAAATGGGATGAAATGAAAGGAAACTACATCAATGGTTGGCAAAGGTCATAAATCATAATGGTACTATTTATTTTTACGTCATCTAAAAAAAAAATGCTCTTTTTCATTCAACGAAATAACTTCCAGAATGCGCGCGGTGATTGCGTGAATATTAGTGATAGCGAGAGTGGGGGTCAAAATTGTGGATTCAGCCTTGATTTCTGTTATACCTCACATGGAATGGGAGGGAAGGACCCAAGGCTTCGCCATTGAACAGAGGCATAGCCCTTCCTTCAGCTTCTCTCTCTTTCTCTGGCGCGATAGGGAGAGAGAACGGCTTCTTGGGCTGTTCATAGCTGTATGCGAGCATGTCTATGTACCTGCATTGTACCTCTTTGAATTAGTAATGCTCGCTCATGTTTGATCGTTCGTTTTCTTCGGGAGCTGCCTTTGGCCTGTACCGATTGAATGACGACAAAATGATTTGATCAATGGGTGATATTTCCCGTAGGGATACAGACGGTGCGATTGAACAGGAATAATCGTTGAACCCGAAGTCCTCGTCTCCGTGTCTTGCATTATTAAAATTTGTCCGGTTGGGGGGAATTAATGAGGGAAACACCTCGATCAAATGGCCATGAAGAGAGAATTTTTGTTTCGGTTAGAGTAAGGCCTTTGAACGAGAAAGAAAAAGCCAGGAACGATGTATCAGAGTGGGAATGCATTTCTCCCAATTCCATCCAATGCAAGAACACCTTTTCAGAATCCTCCTCCTCAATGGATACCTACACGTTTGGTAAAGCTCCAATTTAGCTGGATGATGAAGGCCATTCTGTAATTTTTGTATTTGATAAATTGGACACACTCTCAATTATGACCTAGCATTTCACATATATATGTTCCATCTTGTGATTTTCAAGATCAAGCATGACGTCTCTATTAATTGCAGCAATCCTTAATCCCATGTTCAACATTTTCTTCCTTTCTCAAGCCCCTTTTTAATAATCATTTTTTTTTTTGGAACACAGACAATGTGTTTCGGGATGGTTGCTCCACACAGCATGTATATGAGGCAGGGGTCAAGGCAGTTGCTCTTTCGGTGCTTGGTGGTATCAATTGTGAGTTAAAAAAAAAAAAATGTCGCTTTGTGCTTCCTGATTATTTCTATTATTGTTTATGCTTTAAACATCTTTGCCTCATTGATGAAACCCATCTTCAGCTAGTGTTTTCGCATATGGGCAAACCAGCAGTGGAAAGACATATACCATGACTGGAATTACTGAACTTGCAGTGAGAGATATATACGACTATATAGAGACGGTATAAAACAATTTTATTGCTCTTCGCTTGCAATGAAATAGATGATGTTCTTTAATAGCATCCAAAAGATGACTTGTCATTTCTCAGCATCAAGACAGAGAATTTGTTCTGAGGTTTTCTGCCATGGAGATCTATAATGAAAATGTCAGAGACCTTCAAAGTGCAGATAATAACCCCCTTAGACTTCTAGATGATCCAAGGGTAAATTTATGCCATGTTTTCCCTATTTGTCCAATTGTTGGCTTTCATTCTATTGAATGATCATTGATATTCGCACCCTAAACAGAGAGGGACAATCGTTGAGAAACTTAAAGAGGAGCTTTTGACAGGGAGGAGCCATTTGCAGCAACTCCTGTCTATATGTGCTGGTATTGGTGTTTACTTAGTGCTACTCCTGTATCGCTTTTGATACATTCTGGTGAATTTTTTTTAAGTGTTAGCTATCTGTATTATTATGGCAGCTCAAAGGACAACAAAAGAGACTTCCGTGAATGAAACTAGCTCCAGATCTCATCAAATTCTTCGATTGGTGTGAACTCCATCACGAAGTTACTTTCATTAATTGAGACAAGTTTTCCCGAAATTTTCACAAAAAATTTAAATTCCTGCAGACGATTGAAAGTTCTCCTAGTCATTGTGCAGGCACTAGCAGGTCTGGCATTCTCGTAGCTAGTGTGGTATGATCTTTGACTCTTTTATCCTACAGCGGTATGATAATTGTCTTGTAAAAGGAACGAAAGAGTTCATTTTTTTCTGCAGTATTTTGTTGATCTTGCTGGAAGTGAGCGAGCTTCTCAAGCACTAACAAAAGGTACAAGACTGAGAGAAGGTGGCCATATAAATCGCAGTTTACTAACCCTTGGAACAGTGATCCGGAAACTAAGGTAGGAATTCTCAAGCCTTTTTCTTTCTTAAGGGTACTTGCCCTCCAGTTGCAGGATATTCAAATGAATTATTGAAGCTCTTGATCTGAAAGTTCTACTTGAGGGAAGGTGAAACAGTTTAAATAGATAAAGAAAATATGAAATGTCGGAATTTCTTAAGTAGCTATTATTACCTCTCTCCTGGTCACGAGGCATCCTTGTTGCCCGGCCATGATATTACTTATTATACAAACGACAAATTAAATTTGGCCAAATCATAGATTGGCATAAATCTTCATCAATCTTCAAGGTGATCAATCTTTAGATGATTTTTTTTTTTTTTGAGTAAATGCTCTTCATCTGAAGAGTGCAATGACCTGTGTTTTTAGGAATTTTGACTGACTGTCCTAGAGGTTATGCCCTATGTAAGCTAGTAAGAAACTCAAAAAGTTAGCAGTAGTAATTTAAGTCGTACATGACCTGTATTTTTAGGAATTTTGACTGACTGTCCTAGAGGTTAAGAAAGTCACTAATGAAAAAAAAGATGCGGTTTGGAATGGAAGCATGTACAGCTTTTTTGTTATTAGCTCTTGTTTGGGGTTTCCAGATATAGCTCATTGTTATAACGAGTGTTTGGATTCATATTTTGTCTGCATTTTTACCCTTTATTGCCATGCAAGATTATTCTTCTTACCCCTTGTCTATCTCTACCATGTTAGTACATTGATTACAACGTCTGTATGAATTGCAACTACTCAATGCAGCAAGGAAAGAAACGGACATATACCTTATAGAGACTCCAAGCTAACTCGCATCTTACAAAACTCTTTAGGAGGCAATGCCAGAACAGCCATCATTTGCACCATTAGTCCAACACGCAACCATGTTGAGCAATCTAAAAATACCCTGTTTTTTGCTGGTTGTGCAAAACAAGTTGCTACTAATGCTCAAGTCAATGTCATGATGTCAGACAAGATTTTGGTAAAGCATCTGCAAAAGGAATTGGCTAGAATGGAGAATGAGTTAAGGAGCCTTGCTCCAAACACTGTGATGCTTAAGGAGAAAGAACTTCAGATTGAACAGGTGAGTTTTGATTAATAAAATGGATCCTCTTGGTGCCAAATCCATATTGGTACTGGCAAAATGTTTTCATAAGTTATTTACTTAGAAAATTTACTCTGCTATTTTGAATCAGATTTTAAAAACAAAAAAGAAATTCACTTTCACTTTTAATGAATTTATGACTTATGAGCTACCAAAAAGGTAGTCATCTCCTCTCCTTTTTCCTAAAACCTTCCCCTATTACCGCGAGTGATTAAGACTATTTTTTTCTTTTCTTTTCTTTTTTGTTTTCAATTGTGCCAATAGATATTACTTGCTACATCCATCTGGACTATCTTTTAACATCAATGAACACACTAAAATTTATTTTCCATTCTTCGAATGTGAAATAAGGCTTTAAGGAGGAAAATGAGCTAAATATCTTATTAGTTATGATCTCTTTATTCTGTTTTAACTTGAAACTAAAATTCTCACCCAAAAAAAAAAACCTTGGAAGTCAAGTCAAGTTTTCCTTCTAAATAACTTAATGCGGCACTTAATCATAGCCCATCAAAATAAATATGTTAGATTTAAGTGAAAATTTGGTGGTCAGTACTTTTTTTCAAAGCTTATTATAGAGTCAGATTTTTCTTTGATTTGTTGTCAACGGGAAACTAATAAAATGACTGGTTTTTTATGGTATTTTATATTAGCCGTCGTTTGTCATTTTTCCTGACGTGAAAATGTGCAGATGAATGAAGTGATAAAAGAATTGACTCGGGAACGTGATACTTTCCAATCTCATGTTGAAAATTTGCTTCAGTCGGTAGGGAAAGATCAGCTTCTGAGTGTATATAGAGATATGGCCTCAGAATGCTCAGGTTTTACAAATAATCTTCATCCTGATACGGATCCAAGAACAGGCAACGCGTCTGAGGTTTCCAATGAACCAAGACGTATTGAAACACTGTTGAATAAGCACCTTGCTCAACAGCCTGAGAATCCTGAAGACAATTTTCTTTTGGATGGACATACTCCTGAGTTTATTGGGCCTGATCCATGTAAGGGTTGGGAAGAGATAGCTGGCAGAGTTAATCCTGAATATGGAGATAACTGTAGGGAAGTTCATTGCACTGAAGGCCACGAAGTAGATGTTAATTTGTTCGTTGCTGCTTTAGAAGATATTGGAGGAAAATCACCCATGAGACTTGTCAAGAATGGTGATGCCAAATCATCAAAAGAGGATAATGAGTTGATTCACGAACCTATAGACAATAACCAAGATGTTCTTCAGCAAAAAATTGAGGACCTTCAAAGAACCATTGAACGTCTTGGAGACTTCGCAGAGAAATTCAACAGGTCTTCTGAATTATATATTTCCCCATCAAGTAGTTTCCAACTCACTAGAAGCAATAGTTGCAGGTCAGTTGTGGCTGCTACATGTCATCTTAAGTTTGACCAGGTGGATCAGGAAATAACTCCACATTCTCAGCCTGGTAAGTTGGAGTTTGAAGAGATGTTATCTCCTCAGCTTGATCAGCCAGACCATATAGTCATGTCACCTTCTAAGTTCAATAAGCCAGATAAGGAACCTGTATCACCTCCCCAGTTTGATGATAAGTCACAGTTTAAAACTTTGTTACTTCCTCAGTTCAAAAAGCCAGAAGCGGAAACAGTTACATCACTAGCTAAGGTTGAGAAAGAAAACCCTACGAGTTCACCATACTTTCATGACAAACTTTCTGAACGGAAATTTCAAGCCAAAAAATGGAAATCATCGAAAGAACATCTTCAAACTCACCAAATGGTTGCTTTAGATGAAGTGGAATCTGTTATGGACTCTGATGTGGAAGATACTGCTAGTGTCCTCAATTTTGTCGTGAAAATAAATGGAAGGTCGAAGACAGCACGACTGAAGGACTTTGATGATCTTATGGTGAGTTGGAAAACTTTGTTGCGCATATACTCAGATTGCCAGATGCTTTCTCTGTCCTTTTGGTACTCTCTATTAAAATGTTATTTTTAGTTAATTGCTAGCAACAAGATAATTAGTCAAAATGACTTCTGAATTGCATATACGTGAATCTTGTTATGATTAAACTAATTATGTAGTTAGATATGAGTGCTTAAGAAATCGTAGGTTGCGACGTCTCAATCATACATATATTCATCAGTTGCTAAAGGTTCTACAAAGTCCTGTGTATTGTTCAACAGGGTAGGGGCAGTATGTAGATCTTTTATAGACTTGTAACAATGATAATTATCATTATGCATGAATGCGTGCTTGTATACTAAAGATAATGGATCTGTGAAATATTAGTTCTGTTACCTTTATTTAATTATCCTCATATATGAACTAGTAACTGTTCTTACTTGCCATGTGCTTTTCATTCGAGTTGTAATCACTCATTTCATCGGATAGATTCTATAAATATTTCACACATTCAAAGCTAATTATTGGATGTTACACTTCACCGAAAATAAATAATCCTTAATTGTATTTGGATAGAAAAGGTAAACAATCAATAATAGGCAGATAATCTTATTTTTATCCAGTTTAATTCTCTGTCCATTAAGGAAAATTTTTACGTTTTATGCTCTCAGATCCTTCCAAAAGCATTTGTCATTGAAAGGTATTATAGCATTGATTCGAACCTCACTGTGTTAGGTTCAATCCACGACACATGGCTTCAATAATGAAATGGGCAAAGCTAGACTTGCCAACTTCCAAGGAGTACCGGGAGTTTCGTTGCCTTCTAAATTTGAGAGGCAGCAGAGATACATGGTCGAACTTTGGGATGCTTGCAATGTACCGCTGGTTCATAGATCCTATTATTTTCTTCTTATCGTAGGTGAATTATGGGATCCTATGTACTTGGACATTGAGCTCAGACGTTTGTCCTTCCTAAAGGAGAAATTTTCTACTGGAGCCCCTATGATAGAAGACAGTCAGAATCTCACGCCTGATTTGAGGTATAACTTCAATTCTTTGAGTTGATTTTTTGGCCTGCACTCAAACACGATCATGCTTAGTTTCTCGTTGATTGATTCTTATGGTGACTATCGTCTATGCATATCTTTTTTTTTTTTTGACATTTACATCAGTCTTCTCATTTTGAGCTCAAATTCAGTTTTTCTTAAAACAGTGCATTAGATGTTGAGAAATATTGCCGATGCAAATCCACATTGTTATCTTTTACAAAAGATATTTAAGAGAAATCTCTTTTATTCAAAATGAAATGATAGACTGCACATAGGTTGAGAGGCTTACTCAACGTGAAGTTGATACTTGGCACCACTAAGTATCACGTGAACTTGGGTGTTTGAAATGTTCAGAAACACATGAAGAAGCCAAAAATCTAATAGGGAGGACTGGTGCTTTTGGCCAGGAAAATGATCAAAGTGCTTGTTTATAAGAAACCAAAAAAAAAAAAATCTGTAAGTTTGTCATATGCATTTATCTGACGTTTAATTTTTTCTGGGGCAGCCGCATGGCACTTGATAGCGAGAGGAAGATGCTAAGTAAAAAGGTCCATAAGAAGCTCTCAAGGAAGGAAAGAGAGAAATGTTACCTGAATTGGGGTATTGATTTGAAGTCAAAGCACAGGAGTATACAATTGGCATGGCGACTGTGGACGAATACGCAAGACATGGAGCACTTAAGAGAAAGTGCCATACTCGTTGCAAAGCTGATTGGTCTGACGGAGTCGAATGAGGCGCAGAAGAAGACTTTTGGACATAACTTCTTAGCCTTATTTAAGAGCCGTAAATCCCTCAGTTTTGGAGTACGCTATGATATAGCCCATGATGATTCTTCTTCTTCATTGCGAAGAAAAGTAAGATGACTCTAGTGATAATAATAACAATCATTTTTTTTTTTCATATGAAAGTGTTTCTCTTATTATAGTAGGATTATTCGTACCAGGCCTTCTTCTTCCCCATATCTTAGTCTGAAAAATCAACCCTTACTAACCGCCTCCGTGGTAAGAGGGTTTATTATTATTATTACTATTTGTAACAGTGGTTGAACGCTCTGAACTTTGAAGTGGGGTTTAGTAAATTTGGGCTTTGAAATGGGCTGATTGACAGTAGTGGTAATGGGTCGTCCAGTCATAACAGGAGACTGTGAGGGTCTGAGGGGTGAGAATTGGCACGTCTTCTAGCGGAGATCTGGTCAACCTGGCAGCTCTCATTTATGACAGAATCAACTGCTGCGGGGGTAAAACTTTAAACAAGGAAACACTATTCAATTCCTAAAATTGGCCCATCAAACGGCTCTGCTGCCATCAATGCAATTGATGCGTCTGCGTCTGCGTGCGTTGGAGTCTCATTTTGAAACTAACAATGCCCCAAAAGTTTATTGTTATTAATTATTAAATACTTAAAAAATTCCCTCCTTTCACTTTATTATTCCCCCGACCCTATTTAATGGACTGCTCTGCTTTGTTAATTGTTATCCGATTTTATTGTATTGAACCTAAAGTAGATATGAGGCAAATGAAAAAAAATAAAGGGGACCATTTCTCAATGAATCAATTCATGATGTGTACATGCTATGCACAACTTGCCCAAAAAAAAAAATCGTTGATTTTCTATTGCGTGAAGAAATTTTGCCCATTATATGTGTGTGTGTATTAGCACAACTGTCTAATACTACCAACTAATCCATATCCAAACATTATTGAACTAAAATAGTGGTAGTTTTTTAAGATATTTTTTTATTGTTGACCTTATTTAAGGATAGCGAGTGTTTTCATTCCATTTTAAACATTGCAATGTCAAACAAAAAAAGTGAATATAGTTTTAAATATTACATATTTTTGCTCTGGATAAAGATAGTAAACTTTTCCCCTGGGGGGTGGGAGCGAGAGAGAACTTTTTCCTCTTTTCCGTAAATGCTGGGAAAGACCCAGGCTATGTGTTCCTAACATGGACTGCCCTCAGTGTCTAGGACTCTAATGAAACAACAAATTGTTACTTCTAACCGGTCACGAGACTAGAACAGTAATGATGAAGAGAACCGGATGCTTCATGGAGGAATGAGGCCATGTATGTGTATAGTTTAATGGAGAGGGGGCTTAGAGTAGGAAGTTGTATTAGATTATATTTTAAAATCACTTTTATTTAGCAAATATATACACTAAACTGAACAAGAAGCTTCAATTTACGGGAGAAGCGTGAATGTGAGAGGAGAGCCAACGAGGAGGAGCAAAAGAGTGGGGTAAGAATAAGAATTAAGAATATCAAAAAGTAACAGTCCCCGCGTTGGATACAAAATTCACAAGACCTCATGATGCCACTCCCATGACAAGGTTCCAAAAGCACAAAAGGCCCTTTCCCCCTTCTGCTCTTCCTCCATCAAGAAGCCCCCCCTGAGTCAGACCCTTTTGGGAACAGAGCGAGAGAGGGAGACAGAGGCGCTTTGCATTGTTTTGTGTCAGCAAGAACACACATTACAATGTCTATCTCCGCCTCCTAATTGTAACAGTAACATCAGCCTCAGCACACGCTCCTCCTCAACGTACACACCCACAAACGCCATGCCCATCCCCTAACTCCCTCACCCGCCCCAAAAACCTCTCTGCTTCCTCCTCCTCCAACAATGGCAACAACAACGGCTAGTTTTTTGTGCTTCTTGCTTGCGTTGGCCTCTTTCTTGTGCCGTGTTGAGTCCTTGTCGGAGATCGGAGCCTTAACGGCTTTCAAGCTTAGCCTCCACGACCCTCTCGGCTCCTTGGACGGCTGGGATCCCTCCACGCCTTCCGCTCCTTGTGACTGGCGTGGCGTCTCGTGTTCCAACAACCGAGTCCGCGAGCTTCGCTTGCCTCGCCTTCAACTAGCTGGCCCGCTCTCGGATTCCCTCTCCAACTTGCCGCAACTTCGCAAGTTAAGCCTTCATTCTAACAACTTCAATGGCTCCATTCCTCCTTCTCTCTCCCAGTGCTTGCTTCTGCGTTCCGTTTATCTTCATAATAACTCTCTTTCCGGCAAACTCCCCCCGGCTCTTCTCAACCTCACCAACCTTCAAATCCTCGATGTTGCTCACAACTCTCTTTCGGGCCGAATCCTCGGAGATTTTTCGAACTCTCTTCTGTTCCTTGATTTGTCATCGAATGCATTTTCCGGTGATATTCCGGCGAATGTTTCGTCAAAATCTCAGCTACGACTCATCAACTTGTCCTACAATCGGTTCTCTGGCAGAATACCAGGCACTGTTGGAGTTCTGGGACTGCTTGAGTATCTTTGGCTGGACTCCAACCAGTTGTATGGGACTTTGCCTTCGGCTCTAGTTAACTGCTCTTCTCTTGTGCACCTAAGCGCCGAAAACAATGCGCTTTCCGGTTTGATTCCGTCGACTATAGGGACGATGCCGAGACTTCAAGTGCTGTCGTTATCGTCGAATCAACTTTCGGGATCGGTCCCCACTTCTCTGTTTTGCAATGTCCACTTGGTCAATTCTTCTTCGCTGAGAATCGTTCAATTAGGCTTTAATACACTCACGGGCATTCCCGAGCCGCCAAATGCAAGATTTGTCAATGTTTTGGAGATTTTAGAGCTTGAAGAGAATCATATTCGCACTGCATTTCCCTCCTGGTTGACAAATGCGACGTCGTTAACAACTGTTGATATTTCCGGAAACTACTTTTCTGGTATTTTGCCGGTGGATATTGGGAATTTATTGAGGCTAGAGGAGCTGAGGGTGGCAAACAATTCATTATCTGGTGACATCCCTCGTGAAATTGTGAAATGTGCTTCGTTACAGGTTCTTGATCTTCAAGGAAACCGATTCTCCGGCCCCATTCCTTCATTTCTTGGCCAACTGAGGAACCTCAAAATGTTATCTCTGGGCGATAACCTGTTTACTGGTTCTATACCCACGAGTTTGGGAACACTTTCTGAACTCGAGTTGTTGAATTTGAGCGATAATGAACTAAATGGGGTTATACCCCAAGAATTAATGCGATTGGGTAACATGAGTGCTTTGAATCTCAGTAATAATAAATTTTATGGCCAACTTTCGTCTGCCATCGGGGACTTGACAGCTTTGCAGGTTATGAATTTGAGTCATTGTGGGCTTTCAGGACGGATTCCTGCTAGTGTCGGAGGCTTAATGAAACTAACAGTGCTTGATTTAAGTAGGCAAAATCTTTCAGGTGATTTGCCAATCGAGCTTTTCGGATTACCAAGCCTTCAGGTTGTTGCTCTTCAGGAGAACCACTTATCTGGAGGTGTTCCAGAGGGTTTCAGCAGTTTAGTTTCTCTACAACATCTCAATATCAGCTCCAATGTCTTTGCTGGTGAAATTCCAGCTACTTATGGATTTCTTCGGTCGTTACGTGTTTTCTCTGCGTCTCAAAATCATATTTCTGGTAAACTACCATCAGAGATTGGTAACTGTTCTCAGCTTGAAGTGCTCGAGCTTCGCTCAAATCGTTTACATGGTTACATTCCTGGTGATATCTACCGTCTAAATAGCTTAAGGTTCCTTGATTTGGGAGACAACAAGTTAACAGGAGATATTCCGGCAGAATTATCCGAATGTTCTGCTTTGACTTCTCTCCTCTTGGATGCCAATCAACTAACGGGTCAAATACCAGAATCCTTGTCAAGTTTATCAAACCTGACTGCGTTGAATCTCTCCTCAAATCAACTGAGCGGAGAGATTCATGGAAGCCTGTCACTCATACCTGGTCTGAAGTATTTAAATCTCTCTAGAAATAATCTCGAAGGCGAGATTCCAGAAATGCTGGGCTCCCGATTCAAAGATCCTTCTATATTTGCAATGAACGGCAGGTTATGCGGAAAGCCGCTGCATAGAGAATGTGCGAATGTAAGAAGGCGAAAGAGGAAGAGGCTAATAATATTTATAGGTGTGGCTCTGTGTGGAGTATGCCTTCTGGGATTATGCTGCTGCGGCTATATTTATAGCCTCTTAAGGTGGCGCAAGAAGCTGAGAGAAGGGGTAACAGGAGAGAAGAAGAAGAAGAGCCCTGCTCGTTCGAGTTCAGGAGCAGACAGACGTCGAGGGAGTGGTGAAAATGGAGGGCCAAAACTAGTAATGTTCAATAACAAGATCACTTATGGCGAGACACTAGAAGCCACTAGACAATTTGATGAGGAGAATGTGTTGAGCAGAGGAAGATATGGCCTTGTGTTCAAGGCCTCGTACCCAGACGGAATGGTGCTCTCGATCCGTCGTCTCCCGGATGGGTCCATCGAGGAGGGAACATTCCGTAAAGAAGCAGAATCATTAGGAAAGGTGAAGCATCGGAATTTAACAGTATTGCGTGGCTATTATGCAGGACCACCAGACGTGAGGCTGCTTGTTTATGACTACATGCCCAATGGAAACCTCGGGACGCTTCTTCAAGAAGCATCTCAGCAAGATGGCCATGTACTGAATTGGCCGATGCGTCATCTCATCGCACTAGGCATTGCTCGAGGGCTAGCCTTCCTGCATTCAGTCTCAATAGTTCATGGCGATGTGAAGCCTCAAAATGTTCTGTTTGATGCAGATTTTGAAGCTCATTTATCAGAATTCGGGCTAGACAGAATATCAATTGCAACCCCAGCAGAAGCGTCGTCATCGTCCACTCCCATCGGATCGTTGGGGTATGTATCACCGGAAGCAGCATTAACAGGGCAAGCGACGAAGGAGGCCGACGTGTACAGCTTTGGGATAGTACTGTTGGAGATACTGACGGGGAGGAAGCCGGTGATGTTCACGCAAGACGAAGACATTGTGAAATGGGTGAAAAGGCAATTGCAAAAAGGACAGATATCGGAATTGCTGGAGCCTGGGTTGCTAGAGCTAGACCCGGAGTCCTCGGAATGGGAAGAGTTCTTGTTGGGGATCAAAGTGGCTCTTCTATGCACAGCACCAGATCCTCTTGATCGGCCGTCCATGACTGACATTGTTTTCATGCTCGAAGGTTGCCGGGTCGGACAGGAGATCCCATCGTCAGCCGATCCGACCGCGCTACCTTCCCCTAATTGATGATTTCTACTTCTTTTTTTTTTTTTCCTTTTTTCCGGAAAAAAAAATGGTGAAAGTAACGGGATTTTTTCGAGTTAATCATGGTAATCTACTGCGGTTCATGTAGAGAATTGTTTTTCGTACTGAATTTAAGCTCCTTTGTTCGCCCCAGTGACTTTTTATTCTTGTCGAGTTAAGCTTTGACCCGACGGCGCTGTTCGCTGCTCTGGTCAAATGGTTATCCGAAATTCCGTGCGGGCGAACCTGAAAGGTTGTTCCCGCCAAATGAAGGATATCGAATGGGGCGGTGCCACGTGTCGAGACAAGAGGGTAGAGGAAAGTAACCGTTAATATGAGTCATCGATAAAGGGTGATGGGGCATCAGAGTCCGTGAATCTGCCGAATCAGAAATGCTATCTTTCATAAAAAAATTTCTGAGAGCAAAAGGACAAAGCACCCAGATTCTCTCGAGGAACTATTGTTTTTTCTTTTCCCTTTTCTTTTTAAAGTAATCAACTTGAACTATTCAATATTGAGGCTCATCTCTGCAAGAAATAAACAATATGCCGCTGGCCGGAAAACTGTATGAACTGTGACTCCCACGCTTTTTTTGTTTATTGCCTCATTTTTTGGGGGCCTGCGTTTATTGACTCGTTTGACATTCAGAGCTTTGGATTTATAAGTTAAAAAATAATTGGAAGTGCAAAACTAAGACTTTACAACCACTCGTGCGATGTGTGGTGCTAAAATTTAAAAAACACAGATTAAAAAGTATCTTTGAATTAAAATTATAAAAATATTGGTATTTTGATTATCTATCTTATTTAAATCTTTAAATTGTGGTTTAGTTCATCCAATATATTGCTCTAATACTTTGAATTGCTAAATATGTTCATTTAATTCTTATCGGAATTTCTTACACCACTCTTAACTTGCTTTGTCTCACTTTTTTGAAAATTATTATGCGTTCGTAGTGAAAATTTTCTTATTTTATCATTTATTACCGTTATTGTTGGTGGAAAAAATGTTGTGTAGATGCATGAGAGCTAAGCTCAGTTATAAATTGAAATCAAAATCAGGTCAGGGTAGAAAGAGCTCAGATCATGGCAAATCGAACTGTCATAGCATGATGTCATCATCGTCCTCTCGACACAGTTATGAAATTAAGTCGGGACTAAATTTAAATCTTGAAAATCTATGCCATTAAGATAAAAAGTGAGGGGGGGGAACTTTCGTGCTTAAACAAAAAGGAGCGAGTTATTTAGTCATAGATTAAAACCAAGAAATCAATTTCAAGATTTAAAATGAAGTCGTGAAACAATTTCGCAGATAAGGCCAGCAAAAATCGTGAGAAACGAGCGTTGCTTAAGATAGATACCATTTCCTCAAGCATTTTCACATCTACGTCACAGTGTAGTTAGATTATTAGATTAATAGCAACTTTCCATCGTCTCCCAAGCAAAAAAAAAAAAAAAAAACAAGGCTGCAATGGAATAAATAAATATATAGCGAGAGACGGACGCACAGGAGTCAAGGCGCTGCATTGACCTGCACGTGGACCCAAGTCACGTCGCCCGTCGCTGTGGCTCCAAACTTGTGAATCAATTATGTGAGAGCTAAGAACTCAGGATGTATATTGTATGCTATGCTCACTAACACGGGAAAAACAGGGAGGGGTTAATGCGGGTGTGAATATTGAATAGGCTTTTTATTATTATTTTTTGAAAGTTTAAAAATTGATTACATCTTTCATACACTTTGCAAATTATTGCAAAACATAAAAAATTAAGTCACATTTTCTTGAATAGTATAATTTATGGAAAATTTTACATCTAATATGATATTTATTCTGGTAAAAAATAGAGCAAATTATAACAAAATCTTTTTAAATTTTACAAATGACAATATGTTCTTTCAAAATATCATAATTTTATTTAAGTTTTTAAAAATTTCTGTATCAATAAATTTTAAAATAAAAAAATTATTTTATATTAATTGAAAATAACAAGTTCTATTCACATTTTTTATTTAAAAAATAATAACTTTTATTTTATAAATCAAAAGAATTAAATAAAAAATTATAATTTATCAGATATACTTTTTATATTAAAATAATAAGCTCCGATCATAACTTTTATTTAAAAAATAATAATTTTTACTCAAAAATTATAAAAATTAACTAAAAAATTACATTTATCAATGAAGATTCAATAGTCTTTTTATTTTAAAATTTATTATTATAAAAATTCTTAAGGACAACTTTAATGAAATTATAATATTTTAAAACGTTGGATTATCTTTTATATAATTAAGGAAATTTTATTATCATCTAAAAAAAATTGATATTTATTATACTTGACTGTTGAAATCTTTAATACCCATCGTTGCGTTTTAAATTCATTCGAACACAGAGGGGGTGCCGTACAGCATGAGTAGAGTAGCCCAGCCTATACTTGGGGTTCAATTGAGTGACAATTGAGTGAGTTCACGACAATTCAGAGATTCCAGCTAGCTGAGCTATGTCGCTGTCCTCATTAACTAGCGTGACAGTCACAAAACCAAGTACATTTTTGGTGTGACCGTATGAGGAATCATAAAGGCTCCAAAGTATGTATTACTAAAAAATCTTACATTTTCACTTCACCTCCGCAGATTTCTCACGATAGCTCATCGTTTTTTCCCCTAACCATTTAGCGAGAAACATTACACTTAATATAAGATCCCTGTAAGAAAATTTCACCATAGATGAAACACCTCTAGAAGCCTATTATTAACCTCTTCGATGACCAGTTACTTGCAACGCACTGGGAAATTTATCGTCACCTGAAAAGTCCAAACCTGTCAGTGGTGAATTCACTGTCATAAGCATACCCTCAGGAAAATGCGAGTGGAGCCGACTCTTCAGTCTCACCAAACATGTTTCAGAGATCAATAATCTTTCAAGGCGTTTTTTTTTCTTTTTTCTTTTACATAAAATAAATTGAGTATTCTTAGTTCTTACAACGTCCCCCCCCCCCCCGGGTGTGGGCAAAAATTTTCTGTAATATGTATACATACATACAAGAATAAACCGCAGCAGTGCTTCCACTTAAGAATATTGTTTTTTAACGAAGCAATAATGTCAAGACACTAATTATGACATCCGCTTCATTAAAAAATGATAATATTTAATAGGACTGCCCAAAACAATAATCCTATGCAGAAGTGAGGCCCTCAGGAAGGGATTCACTGTCTGGATCAGGTGAAAGGATCCTTCGACAAGCATAAAACACAGCTGAGTGAAAGCCAGTTGGGTTATCAATGAACACAAAGTGCCCACCCTGCAGCAAGTAACACAATTCCCTCCCTTAGATTAAATAATAGCATAATGATTCATGTTTGGGAAACGCTAAAAAGCCGTACCTGAGGAACCCTGATGATTTCACATGGAACCTTCATATGCTTACGAGCTTCTTGGGCCCCAGTGTAATCCATCCAATCCTGGAAACCATACATGAAAGTTGTTGGTACCTTCCACTCTGAGGCACTGTAACACCAAGGGAGGGAAAGGAAAACAAAACACGTTACAAACTGACACCTACCAAAATAAAAATGAAAATGAGGAAGTACAAAAAAATAATAATAATAATAATAATAACAACATTCCATATTAGAACAAGAGACCAATCCATAGATGAAGCCTTACCACACCATGTGCCCAATCTCATGTGCCCGCAGTTTACATATAGTCTTATCATCAAAAATAAAAAAATACTTGGTAAAGGTCCCTGATGTTATATTATAATCCTGGATAACTAAGTTTGCAATACCAGAGAAGTTTCAATTTGCCCCTGTTCTCAAATTTTCTTGGGGATGGAAAGGATACTGTTTATTTCTACCATACGAATCATGAAATGCGTGAACTTTCTGAGGATGCCTTTCATGTGTATGCAACAAGCATCAATATTCGTCAACCAGCAACAGGGCATGAACAAGAAGCTAAAGTGCATTCCATCATCACGATAACTTGCTTGTCGCACAACAAAATTGAATAGCCATCATCAAGCAGTACGCCATGCAGTATAAATTACAACTCTTTCACCGAAAAAAAAAATGATAGTTACAACAGTAATCTCGATAATACCGAGGACAAACTCTCTTCTTTTCTCTTGCCCCATCTCTTGTTTTTTGTTTTGTTTTCTACCCTTTTCCGAGAAGGTGCACATTATGCAGGGAAGTTCTATAAATACTAGTAAATGCAAATCCAATATCACCCAGCCACAACTACTTTATTATGCCAACATATAATGGGCAAAAAATTCATGCACAAAATAATTAAAATATATCAATGTCAAGTTATACTGCATCCTAAAGATTCCATGTCAATAGCTCCAACAAATTCCAGTTCCATGATGGCGTAACAACAAAACAGCAATTCATCCCCACAAAACCGCCATCAACAGGGAAAGGGTCCCCATTGGGCAAAAGATTTCTCCAACAGAAGCCCATCAGGATCAAGCTGACTTCAAAAAGTCGGATAATAAATACTTTTTAATCAATTACATCATGCAAAAATTTACAACTGACCAAACAGCACATTTGAACTTGTTATCATCAAAATTTTATGATTACCATACCCTGCAAACTAAATGCAATTTTATAATGCAGCTGTTTGTTGAAGAGAAAAGTGGACTTTCATATCGCTGATCTGAAATATAAGTTAAATTAAAAAAAATAGGTGGTCAGCAAACCTGTGAAGAAGGGGCATCCTAGCAAACGCTCCAAAAGAAAAAATATATTTTAAGCACAGCTCTCCGCTAGCTTTGGCTGCTACGGTATGGTAAAAATAATCTTCAAAACGAAGAAATCAACAATTAGAATGCACTCTGATATTGAAACAATGTGTCAATATAGTATCGAACCATACCCGTCAGCAATCTTGATTCCTCTTCAGTCAATACTTCACCAGTTGAATGTGTACCGAACCTAGCACTTGTATACTTGCGGACTATATCAGGACCCCAGGGACCTAACCCTCTACAACAAACATATAAAAAGATATATTCTACAATGACAACATCTAATAAAATTTTCATTATACCCAAATAAAATATAAAAGAACTATGATAATGTAACTAAGTAAATCAAGGGGTGAACAAAACTGGAGTTATAGGGTATCAATCCATGTTGCATGGTTCACAAAAAGGAAGTCCAATGGAACACAAAACAGGATTCCCTCGACAAGTACTTAAACAGGAGTCAGTCCAACATCTCACAGCCTCAGTCTCCCAACCCGAAAATTTAATTTAAATATATATTGTTTGCAATAGCCAACCCCAACAGTAAATTCCCCATGAAGATTAATGTTAATGAATAAAAGAGTGTCCATGGTTCAGTAATGATTCATACCCATATCTAACTAATGGAAAATATGAGTACTTCAGTAACACCACCATTAGAACAGATTAACCTAAAGATATAAAGAAATGGATTACATTACCTTGAAATATAAACTGAATTTCCAAGGATGGAATTTATTTTATTCATCAAGAAGACTTTAAGATTTGGGTGAGTTACGTGAGTAAATGCATCCATAGTTGCATTTATTCCAATTTTCTTTTTTCGACTAAGATATCCTTCATGAGAAAAGTACACTAGCAGGCCCTACAGCTACAACAACAAGCCTTATCCCAAGATTTGTGTAATGGCCACAAAACTGAGAAGATTGTATAATTTACTCTATTCTATTTGAATAGTCAGGTACAATAATCAAACAGCCTTCCAGAAGCCAATCCGCTGGACGAAGCAAAAGACTGTAATATTGTAGAAACATGAGATTTGACAAGAAAAGGAAAAGAACTCAATTTTGTTTTGCTAAAGTAAACCGAAAAGTAAAAAGAAAAATTCGTGCAATATCTATCATATTGTAATTATTACTCAACTATTTTTATCTCTTTTAATATTTTTTAAGAGTAGGGTCATGACCATTTTTCGCCAACCAAATCATTTTTTTCCATTTCATCCCATCCTTTGCTCCTTCATATAAGTTGTCTAAAATTTTAAAAATATGCCACGCACATAAAAAGTGGATCATAAGGGCAACTAGGTAATTTTACCTGACAAGTTTTTGAGGTGTAAAATTAGACTCCCAAAGATGGTTCATGAGTGCTCCTTTCCATGTTGCTCTAAACTTTGTAAACCACTCAGATTTGGCATCTGATTCTGATGAAAATCCAGCAGGTCCCACCAAGATCAAGTGTTGTACGTGCTCAGGGTGCTATATTTAGATAATTAAATTATACATCAGAATATTTATAATAACAAACAACAAAAATGCCGGTAATTAACATTAGAATGATATAAGGGATGACATTCACCTTGATGGCATATTTAGCAGCAACATAACCACCAAAAGAATGTCCAAGTAGTATAAAATTGGTTAGATTTTTAGCTTTTCTCCATTCCTCAAAAGAATCAATAAACCATGCCTCAGTTTCTGTAATGCCAACAACAAGTTATAAGTAGTTGCTAGAGTACTTTTCAGTTTCAGTAACATATAGGTCGTTCCTCTTCCAGAGTAAATCTAGAATTCATCCTATCTGTTGACAATATTATTATTTTACATGACTAACCTTCTGTGCTTCTGCATGTAAAGTCAGGCCTGCTTGATCCGCCCCAACTGCAGAAAAAAGTTTCGAGGGAGGAAATGAGATCAATTAACAGGCCTCAACTATACACCACATCTCCCCTCAAAAGGACTTGATGATTAAAATGAGGTTGTAAATGGCCTAAATAAGGACTTCAAGTTTTTCATGTCAATTTCCTTTTCCAACTTCAATTTTTTTGTCGGTTTCCTTTACCTTTCCTAGGTTAAAATGAAGCATAAGACGAAAAAACACATTATACGTTCAGGTATGGAGTTTTTTGGACAAAAGACATTAATCAACTACCAGAAAATTTTAGGGTCGAGAGAAGCAAGGCTCACCCAAGTTGATCAATAGCAATGACTCTGAAACGACTGGCAAGTGCATCAAAATTACGGAAAAAGAAACCCTGGGAAGCACCATATCCATGAACCATTACAAGCGTAGGAGAATTTTGTGTGCTCTCAAATGTTACAGTGTTGATAAACCTTGGCTCATCGCTTGACGAACGAAACCACCTAACTTTCGACCCAGGTGGACCAGAGCCTATATTAACCAATTCTTGAACATAAGGAGTCCTGTAAAAGAAGCCATAACAATCATAAATGAATGTTCCCCGGGGGGGGGGGGGGGATGTAAAATATGCCCCCGGTATAATGCAATTAATATAAAACAAGCAAACGAATCATGACAGTTAAAGGATCACTTCATTTGAAAAATTGACTGAGTCCGGAACTACTTTTTCCTGTAATTCATGGCCACCTCCGAATAAGTCCATCAACAAAACATTAACGGTTAAGAATATCTCCCGAACGAAAGTAGACAAATGCATGATAGTAACGGAAAACCCTGATATTAGAATTTTCAAAGGGAATCACAGTTTTAAATTTTTAGAAAAACCCAAATTTTCTGCGGTGACTGTTGCCGATAAAAGTTAGGGTTTCGGAAGAACAAATGAAGAAAATGATTACTTGACAACGGAGAGAAGGCGCTTCTCGGCATCGATGATGTGATGGGTGGAAGTAGGAATCCAGCGAAGCACAGAAGGCCAGAAGCGTCTAGTTTTTGCAGAAGTAGCAGAGGATCCTAGGTCGGCCGTCTTGATCTCTTCGGCCATTCTTGATATTGAACTTGACCAGCGATACCGAATCACGGTCATAAAACGTCAACGATATGAAGATGCTGCTATCAGACTACTAGGATCTAAATATCCCACCAGGAACTTGGATTTGTTCCCGGCAATTCAAAGTCAGAAAGCATAAATCATAATCGGTGGATTGCGCTCCACGCTACAACAAAATTTGACCATTGAAGAAGAGAAGTCTGCAGAAGTTGAGATTTAAAAAAAAAAAAAACCAGCGCTGAAATTAAACATATATAGTCGGCGAATATTGAATATAAAAAAGTCAGGGATATCAAAACGAAATTTACATGTTTTTATGCCTTTTGGTCCCTAAAAGAGGCCCGAATGACTCTTGCTGACGTGCGCAGTGACATACTTTCGTAATTCATCGAGATCGGAAGATGCGGAGGAGCCTCCGATCTATTCACTGAAAGATGCGAGGCTATGCAAAAATTGCAAATGAATAGAATATGCAACCTGCTTCTACGGAGAGAAAACCTTATTTAATATATTTGGCACTGGGTTCATGTAAGATTAAATAGTAAAACGACAACAACAACAATGATAAATTATTTAGAGTATATTTGGATACAGCTTCATAATTAATTGTGGCTCTCAAACTCACCCATTATAATAGATGCTATTTAAAGTTTCATCTAAGAATTAATTATTTTGAAGTTCTGTTTTGATTATCAATTTTGTTCAATTGAAAACTTAACACATCGTTAATTTACATATATCTAGACTCTGAAGTCTCTATTTCATCCACATAAAATTCATTACTGTGATTAAACTGCTCCCTCTAACATATTATCACTTATTTATTTACAAAAACAGTTAAAAGAACGGCACTAGTGACTTCTAAATCATGGTAATGCAGGTTGTAGCGGTGAGGAAAAGGGTCGCAAATAACCTGTTTACATAAGCCAGGAAAGAACGACGACGACCAAGTTGATCGAAATTAGTGAAAACACAGATGTTTAGCTACAAGAAATTGAATTACAAAGTATCCGAAGATGTTAATGTAGAAGGAGAGATGTTTAGGAGGAGTACAAAGGAAATTAGCTAATTTTGTGATTCAACATAGGCCACACGGACTCTGCAAGATTTTTGTGGCTGATATAATATTGGTTTGTTACCTACCCTTCAGTGAATAATGTTGTCCAATCCCTCCCCCAGCAAAAATTGGAATACATGAATTTCCAAACATTTTGCATCGTTATATAATACGAGCATGTTTTCAAATAACAGCCAAAAGGAATATTGTAAGCTTCTGTCAGACTTGAGAACAGAGATGATGGGATGGGATGAAACAATTGCATATAGGAACACCGCATCAAGAAATACATCACAAGACGATTTTCTTCCCGGATTTGTTGGCCTCGGAGATAGCTTCACTGAAAACAGAGCCATCCTTCATGATTTATACTGTTAAGTCTTTTATTAATGAAAAGAAACACGCCAGCAATCTAAAATTACAATTATTAGACTAGAGCTAAAATAGCTACCATGCAAGTGTTGATGAATAGACAATAATAATAGACACACTAGCATGAGAAACACAAGGCAATTGCATCGTAAATGGCCCGATCAACCTCGGAAGCCAAGTGGAACAACGTAAAACCAAAACGGCAAAGATGGAAATTGTCTTATGGTGTTGGAATTGCAATAAACAACATATCAACGTAAAACCAAAACGGCAAACATGGAAATTGTCTTATGATGTTAGAATTGCAATAAACAACATATCACATAGAAAGAATAGACGAATCACAGGCATCCTTTATTGACGTGTGTAATCTTTCATTTCACCCTACCTCGTAATACACCAGCAGCTTTAGGCAATAAACACAGCGTGCCAAATCTATTGCATACTATGAATTATTTTTAACAACTGATCAAAAGTAGGAACCTAAAAGAGCAATCTTTGGATAACTTCATGCCCTCAAACAATTAACCGTACAAATAAAAAATATTTATGAAGTCAAATAATGTCTTTCTAATGAAGACACACACCCCCATTCAATAAAATGAGGGTCTCAAATTGTCAACCCTCAAAGGCACTGATGTACCGAATCCTTTGATGCATGTCATCAGGAAAATTCAACTGATGTTTTAATTGAACCTCTTCATAGAAATAGAAAAATCTCTTTTTATTGAATACTTCTCCGTCAATATTTTGGTTAGATTTGCCTAAAATGTTTACAAAAAGCCTACTTAAGTTGGACTACAATGACTATTTGTTTCTTGAGTTATGCATTTGAGAACATGCCCTTGACCATCAAGATCGTGAGAAGTGGGAAGATGAAATAAATTTTAGCAACCCTTTCTCAAAAGTACAAAGTGCTACATCCTAAGAGCTCTCACCTGGCAGTCCATTGTCTTGTCTCTGTCAAACAATTAGCCCACAAAGGAGCGGAAGTTTATGTGTTGAACAGTTTTTTTTTTTGGCTTGAGCATCCAACAGAGGTTCATTGTTGAAGAAAAGAAAAGGCCAGGAATGTAAGAAGCACATCTAAGGGTCCAGTTCATTAAATGTCACCGGCCGTGAGAAAAATCATGACAAAAATTTCAAACTGTCCACTTGGCAACCAAGAAACTCAAGACTTTTGAAGTTTCAGAACTTCCAGAAATTTGGCTTTCAATCAGGAGATTATGTTACTTGAATGTCAAAACTTGGAAGTAAGTTTAGCAAGAACGTAAAGAATATAGGATAGATTGGTAACCATTAATGACAGAGAACACGTGCCTTACTCTTTCACTTAATTCCTTGAAACACGTGAACAACCATGGCTTCCTTTGCATTTGCTGCTTGTTATATCACTTGAATTTGAAACCCAAAAATGTCAGTAATGGAAAAGGCCTAGACCGCTAGAGGCTTTAAAGACCACATTCCAATGATTTATATTTTAATATTTTATTGCTTATAACCTCTTACCTGGCCAAACAATTAGGAGCAATCTTGTACATGGAAAGAAGCTCTTAAAAATTTCAAAAAAGTGTTATCCCATCATGTTTTCGTTGAGAGTCAAACCCAAGACCTCCCACTTACTAAACAGGTGCTCTAACCAGCTGAGTTGTGAGAGCCAATTGCAAGATTTCTGCACAATATTATATTGACTTTTAATTATAAGTGAATCCATCATCTTCCGATTCCTTTGCCATTTTTAGGAAAATCGAGCACCAAAACTTTTTGTGGCCTTCTATAAGAGATACGATAGATTGAAATTAAATGACATGGGGACGTAACCGAGGTGCATTGTAAAATTTGGCTCAATCTTTTTCATAATTTGGTCCCAAATGTAAGAGTTATTTTCGCCAAAGCCAAAAATATCATTTTATTAAATCAAAAAGTTAAAGATTATTCATAATAAGGTCCAGAGTCTTAAAAGATCTCCAAACACAATAAATTTCTAATGCAAAAGTACAGCACGCCCGACATAAATATGAGTAGAAGATATTTAAAATAAGACTAATCATTACGAAATTTAAATTTCACCCCCCCCAAATTATGTCAACATAACTGCATTGAAACAACAATATACTAAAAAAGAGAGTCCCAGTAGGCTAAGCAAGATGGAAGATATGATAAGTGGTATTTTGTCTTAACATCCCTGATATGTTGAATGGCTCCTCTTTCGTACATCCTTGAAGCTCCACGCAAGACTGCCCCAACAAATCAATCATTTTAATGTGTCTCAGAAATATTTGACTATATATGCTTTGATCAAAAAGTTATTCCTTGTGAGCAAATATTAGTCCGGTTAATAATAATTTAATCTACAATCTATGAAATTGTGAGATTAAATCTTATTACTGATATAAATACCTAGTTGATAAGTGATTTGTATTATAAGTATTTTTATAAATGCAATTTTAATTTAGAGACATGCCATAATTCTGGCAAGCCTTTAAGATTAAACTCCCTTAACTTTGATATCACCAACAACAAAAAAACTTGGTTTGAAAGGTGAAAGTTGACAATAATAATCAAGCAATAAACATAATTCATTGTTCGAATGGTGTTACTAGCAAGTCACTCTCAACATTAGGATGCAAGTCACAAAGGAAGTTTGAAATTTGGCAATATAATCACAAAGGTTTTGCTGATTATTTTTCCATTTGAAATGATTCAATTTAATGACCAACACACCATTATCGTTAGTAGCCACATGCAGCAAGCAAAGCAAGTGTTGATTGTAAAGGAAAGGAAGATGCCTTGACTAGGGCGCAAGAAGGTGCATGGCAGATTGACAAGTAGGGTGGATCAATCGGAGATGGAACTTTTCCATTGAGGCTTAGCAAGCAAAGGCACATGAGTCATAACACAACCAAATGCCAGCTTGCCTTTGAAGACTTAAAGCTTACACCTAAACAAGAATATATGCCTATTGATCATTAATTTATCTCCCTCATTTCTTCCTGGACAAGTTAATCCATGTCAATTTAACTAGCTTCACCATTTCCTGTGCCTCATGCTGTCTAATCATAGTAAAATTTTATTATTACCTAATCTAATTCAAGCTACCATGATTGATCTCAAGCCATATGAACTCTATATAATCTTTTATGTGCATAAATTTCAACACATGCATTTTGATTATTTTTCTCTAGCTTGGTAATTTCATCTTTTTATTTCACTCATAAATTATCATAATCTTGTTCATTATGGGATGCATGGCATCCTTTTTACTAGTATGTTGTAATTAAATTAGCCCTCATAGGTTAATTGGACAACGAGTTCCAATTAATCAATCAGTCTCTTTGAACATGCCATCGAGTTTAGTTGGTCTTAATTAATTTTTAAATCTAAGCATAGGAATGACAGAGTTCTTGACGAAAATTATTGGTGCTAAGATAATTGTCGGTGTGATGTTTGCGTGTAAAAAAGCAGGTGACAAGTTCCTTTGTGTGTATAGGTATGCAATTTTTTTTAGCAGGGCACAGCAATTAGCAAATTAAAAAAAGGTGAGAGAATCGAATACTAAATATATGCAAAATTAAGGACATTATGATTAAATATCATTATATTTCACTTCAGATTAGACTAGTATATATTTAACAAGTTTATTACATGATAATTTCGACAGAGGGATAGATTATTAGTTACCACTAAAAAATAAGATAATGATCAATTATGTCTATTAGTGCGTAAAGCTTGTCAAGCATAACTTAATTAGTAGAAAATTCCCTCATACTGTCTAAAAGAAATCTCAAAGCACAGATAACTCACAATTAAAGATTGAGATTGCTAGACCTTTCAACATACCCTAACATTAACTTCACTAACATCCCATTAAGGATATATAATTTGACATTTTTTCAACTCCCTGTTCTTCTACTTGTAATATTATTAAGACCTAACTTGGAAGGAATGAGGGAAAATGCTCATCGAAGGCACATAGCAATTGAAAAAGCAAAGAATGAAGAGACAATGGTACATATGTGAAA